TTTTTTAACGAATCGGTCAAACCCAAACAAAAACATTGTTTTCAATCGTTATGAGTTTATCAATTGAATAGAATTTTATTATAAAAAATTGTCTTGTAAATGGAATTTTTAAAGCATTCTGAATGTAAAAATAAAGTGTGCAAGACAATAAGAAACACTACCTGCCCCCCCATGAAATTTTGTTGAAATCGGTTGAAAAATGTAGGAAATCCGATCCCATATATAAACGAACACACACACACGCGCACGTGCGCTTGCACACACACACACACAACCTGGGTTTTATAAGTATAACTCGATATGAGTTGTCCCCCTTTCATTCTGGTAACAGAATCCTGTTTTCAAATTGATTTTGTGCAAAAACAATTGTTTTTCCAATTTTTGGCACTGTCAGAACCACCGCAAGGTAATTTTACGCAGTTCTGTAAAGTTTTGTTGAAATCGGTTGAAAAATGTAGGAAATCCGATCCAATATATAAACGTACAGACACACACAATCTGCATTTTACAAGTAAGATTATGCTTTTGTGCACAGTTCATTATATGAAAAGTATATTTATTCATTAGTTGAAAATACAATAAATAAAAAATTTGTATATGTACGAATATTCCTCCCACGAATATATAATATATATATATATATATATATATATATATATAATGATCATTTGAAGGATATATTATTATTCTCTGATTTCACTGTTTAAGGAGAGAGAGCCTATCCATCAAAGTCATAGAGAAAGATGGTAACTGTATGGATGGAATAGTTTAATCAATGGGAGAAGAAACAAATTGTTACTGAGTAACCTCTAACTCCTTTGACCTCTGAAATCTGATTATTTGCCCAAATGCCTAATCTGACTTGGCTCTGTCACTATAGAGGTTAGACAACAGTAGCTGTACTAATTAATATACTTTGGCCTACCATCAAGACAGTAGAAAATGAAAGGCGCCAGAATCACTGGGTTGATATACTGACTTTATAACTCAGCTCAAATAATCCTTTGCCCCATGCAATCAGATTTCAATTTCTCATTACAAGATCTCACCTCTGCTGATATTTTCTCCCTGTCGATATTTTGTTTTGAATGCTTCTTTCAAAATCATTCAGCGAGCTGATAATTAACAGGCATGACAAAATTGTTATTCTGAATTATATTTATTGATTTTATTATTATTATTTTTATTATTATTATTACTTTTTTAATTTTTAGATATATATATATATATATATATATTATTTATTTATTACTGCTGTCCACCCAATACAAGGCTGTAGAGCCACTCAAAATAGAGGGTTACTGACTGAGGTGTGTGATATGAATTTAAGAGTAGAAAGGGAATTTCCACCATCTTGTCTTCCATAAATAATTGAAATAAGAGACTTTAGTAACTCTGCCTGGTTTGGCAGACCCTCATCCTACCTGTATCATGCACTCTGTGAACTTGAAAGAATGTTTTCCTGCCCCACATATACAAATAATCCCAATCTTAAAACATCTTGACAGCCTTTTTCTTCTGAAATGTGAAGCAGATTTGAGTTAACACTATAAGGAAAAATATTTCTAAGAATAAAATGAACCATATGTTGAAAACACTCTTATCCATTATGCAAATAAACCGTGAGACCAGATCTATACAGGTATAAAAAAAAAAAAAAAAACTTTTATTTAACTCATAACTTCCTTAATATTCTTTTTTACAAAATAAAAAATAATGATAAATGAATTGATTATTTATCTCTATTCCAGGTTTTGTAGATCTTGAAATCTACTCATCAGGAGACAAAAGTATTTTTCATTTACTTTCACATCATAGTTTTTCTAGAAAACACTAAGTTATGTGTGACAATATCATTGTCAGCTAATGTCTTGTTGATTGAAAACATTTGAAAGATGTTACAGAAATTGTTTTGACAATTATTGCTTTCATTTTTATCAGCTATGTTAAGTTTTTTCTATTGCATTAATCATTTGCTGAACAATCTTTCAGCTTCTTACTTTCCAGTCAATTTTGATCTTAAAAAATTTAAATGCAATGTCATTCATTATCTTCTGTTTTTTTTTTTTAAATCTTTTATTGTCCTTTCTCCTTAATAATGCATTTTCTCATATTCTCTAACACTCAGTAACTGCTTGCGTCTTAGTGTCTTTATTGCCTTACTTGGAGTGAAATGATTAAAAAGAAAAAGACAGCACACATGCACATTTAATGATATGATGAAAAAGCAACAATAAACAATACTAAAGAATGGAAAAGAATAGCAAACACTAAACACAGAAATTAAAAAATGTAAACAAGTTAAAAAGGAATGGATCAATGAAAAGTGTGTGAAAATAGAAAGAATGAGAAAAATACTCCACAGATCAAGGAACTTTTTATGAAGTGAGAGAGAAATCTCTACTGGAAAATACAGAAGGGTCAGAAATACTAAAAGATGAAGTAAGATCACCTTAGGAGAAGATGAACAGAAACAAAGCAGCAGGACCTGATGGAATCCTAACAGAAATGCCTTCAACCATCAATCAGTTATGTGCCATGCGTGATACTCACTTAGGCAGTCATGTATCTTTTATTACATGACTGACTCAGCAGATTTTTTCCTGCAGTAGGTTGCCAATTCTTTCTGAGGTAAACTAGTTCCCATCCAAGGCTATAGAACCCAGTCTGTCTTACTATTTATTTATTTACCCATAGCTTGGGGGGGGGAGAGGAGGGTTCATACCTTTCCCAAGGATATTAGCACATAACTGAACATAATGGACCCAACTGGAATTTGAGTTTGGCTCTGATTTCTCAATCCGAGCCACTATCCACTGTATAAACAACTTTGACATTGGCAAGATCACAGAAGTAATAAACAAAATATGCAATAGTGGCCACATACCAGGTGACCTGATTAAATCCATTTTCATAAAATTACTTAAAAGACCAGGTGCAAACTTCATTAGGAAGTTTAATGTGCCACATAACCCAACTAGTGATGCAAATCCTGATGAACAGAGTGTGAAGCAGAATTAGACCAGAAATAAGACAAGAACAGCATGGCTTTGTCAAAGACACCGAAATAAGAAATGAAATATTTATGATTAGAATGATGTCAGAGAGAGCCATACACATGCAGAAGGATGTACACATAGGATTTTTTAGATTTTTCAAAAACATTTGACAAGGTATTGCTAGGAAAACTAGATTTATTTTGAAAAGATGTTAGAATAATCCAGAATTTATACTGGGAGCAAACTGGCTGTATATTGATAGAAAGTAAATTGAGTAGCTATACAAAAATAGAAATCTTTCCAGAATTATTCAACCTTTACAGCGACCCTGTCAGGATTTATTATCAGTTGGCATAATCTTAATATTATACAATATAAGATATGCAGATAACATTGTGTTGATGGCTGACTCAGAATGGAAACTATGGGACCTCCTAGAGAGGGGGGGGTAGAAGAAAGTGAGTAAAAAGGACTGCAAGAAGACAGAAAATATGGTCATCCGCAAGAGAATAAACCTAAGATGCATGTTACAAATTGGAGATAGAAAAAACATCAAGCAGGTGCAGAATTTGGTAAGTGTTTTAACAGGATGGAAAATGAGGACACACATTGGACTAACAAAAGAAGCATCCCAAAAGCTAAGCAAGGTGCTGAGAATCAAAATAATTTCATTTGCAATAAAGAAAAGAGTGCTGGATTACTATGCAGTATCCATATTCATCCTCTTATATGGCAGTGTGTGTTAGGATCAGGAAAAAAAAATTACAAGTAATAGAAATGTGGTTCTACAGAAGGATATGCAAATTCCATGGACTGAGCGAGTAAGCAACAAGGAAGTCTTAAAGAAAATGGTAACAGGAAGAACACATACTCAAAATCAGGACAAGACCCTCACAGAACATATTGAGTGCAGGAGAGATAGAAGGCAATTAGCCTTGTGGACATATGTGAATGGAGGGGTTGAACAGTGGATGGAGGCCTTAGCAAAGTCAGAAAAAGGGCTAAGAACTACATGAGATAGATGATCATGGCTCTCCACAATTTTCTATGTGGCACATAGTAGTAGTTCTGCATAGTTGCTTTTTTTCCCCCTCTTTTCTTAGTCATTGTAATCTTGTTGAAATGAATCTTGTTTAAATGGCAATCAGTTTTAACTTGAGACTCTTTTTCAGAAATCACTTATATTGATCTTGCAGCCTTACAACACAAAATTCAGTCAAATTAATACATTTTTTTATCATATTTTACCAATTTGTTGTTACTGACCTTCCAACTTTGAATACGGCTAACAAAACATGTCCAAGACAAACTTTTTCTCTTTTTTAATGTAAGTTCCCAAATATTAAAACCATTTAAATCTACAAAATTATTTAAAATATTCAAAATGTGTTCAGTTCTTTTCATATGTTAAATTGATCATTATATATGCTTGGCACAATATGCTATTGTTTGACATAACTTGTATTTATCAGAAAATCATTGTTTTTGTTTTTCTTCTGAGTACTGAAACCATTTTTAGCACTGAAAATCCTCCCAAAAGATGTCTGAATAGATTAAATGGAAAATTTCTGCTCTTTTCAGGAACTTTGTCTCTTCACTGTAGAACAGGGTTTCTTGACCTAAACCCCTTTTCTTTCTTTTTTTTTTATTCATTAGAAATGGGAGAGTTATCTTTTAATCTTCTTCTTAAGTATAAATAACATTAATACAGCTCTATAATTGAACTGAAAATCATTCCAGGAGCTTGAAAACCACAAATGTCTGTTTGATTCTGTTGTGCAAGCCCACTATAGAAGATGTCTTCTATATGGCTTACATAAAATGTAAATCAAATATATTGCCACTTGATACACATGTCCCACATAATTGTCTCTGTACCTAACAAAGTTCTGTTGTATTCAGTTTTCTTCAATCATACATCGCTTGTCAGTTCTATCAATAATTTGCATTTTGTCCGGAATCATTTTCTGCTTGATTGAGCCAAGCTTTAACCTTTAATATATGTGGTCTGCCAGACAATTAGGCCTTAGGTTGTAGCCACAAGAGTTCCAAGAAAGCACAATGTAAAATTCATGATCTTTGTGATTCCACTCTGTGACCAATAAAGAGTTCTGTCCTCATTAAGTGATTCTTACTCTTACCATTTCAGATTCTGGAAAAAGAATGGATTTGTCCCAGTCTATCTTCGTCAAACAGCGGTAAGTATTAAGTCCCGTCAAGCAGTAACTGAGGAAGCAGTCTCCAAGAGAAAATTATTCTTTAATAAGATACTGCTATACTCAGAAGGATTTCTAATTCATGTATTCATAAGCAAATGTCTATGTCTTATATATATATATATATATATATATATACGGCAAAAGTAAATAGCCGTTTATATGTTTAAACAAGTGCTTTATTTATTTAGCAATCTAAATAATCCAAGAATATTTTATTACACATATCTTCTATGTGATGTGTCACTTCAGGATCTGGGCAATCATGGCCTTCCACAACTTCCTTCCTTTCATGGCTCTTTACATTATTTGTATATTATTTCTGTAATGAGTAATTGTCAATATTCTTGTATTATTCCAAACTATTGTTCTCATCTTGGTTTATATAGATGCTATTACAGTGTTTCTACCAAGTATACCTGAGTCATCATCAGGTGTCCATTGATTGGCTGATATGGACTATCTGTTGATTTTTGTGATATTTTTTCCCCATGATGTCAGTTATTGTTCAATCCAGTTGAATTTGTGCTTCACTACCTTATCCAAGGATTGAACTCATGACCACTAGATAACAATAACACATGTATAATCAATTCCTATATCTATTATGCCACAAAGAACATTAGTGGTGGTTTTTTTTTTTTTATGTTCAATGTTAAATATTTCTTTTGACATTTTATTATGATTGGTTAGTACCACTTTTCATTATTTAGTATTTCATTTCTGAGGTGAATAATTGTCAATATTCTTGTAGTATTTCAAACTGTTGTTCTCACCTTGGTTTATATAGATGTTACATAAAAACTCCAAAAAACATATCACTCAACCAAGATGTGAACAATACTTAGAAATAATACAAGAGTAATGTTTGTTTTTTTGTTTTTTTTACTCTCATTTCGTACTCCCTGTTCTCCTTCCACTTAAACAAGCTTCTTTAGTAAATTACTTGCTATTTCCCTCTGCCACTTTTGCCATTAATATTTCCTGTGTGTGTCAGATTCTCCAAGTTCTCTTTCTATGTTTGTGTTCCAAAAATATCGTGTCTCTCTTCTGATTGTAAGAACAACAGTATTTCTGCAGCCAGTTTTCATTTATCCTCTCCTATGACTAAGCAAGGAAAGCCACTTATCGCCTTGCTTGGGGTAAAATGATTAAAAAAACGTTTAGGGTTCATATAAATAGACTTACTTGACCATAGAAGTTACTTAATAGTTCTGGAATCTACTATTCTTTTTACTCTTTTCTTAAAACGGTACTTGTATAGTGGATTGTATAGTGGATTGTATAATTCTTTTTTTCTAAATTGATACTTTCAGACATTACAAGTTTTGTGAACCAGTGCATTAAATTTTTTGCTACTTTAAAAAATGGATTTGTCCCATTCTATCTTTGTAAGTATGAAGTCCAATCAAACAGTAACCGAGGAAGCATTCTCGAAGAGAAAATGATTCTTTAATAAGATACTGCCATACTTCAAAGATTTTCTAATGCATGTATTTATAGGCAAATGTTTGTTTCTTAAATATATATATATATATATATATATACATACACACACACACACACACATCACAAAAGTAAAAAGACACTTGTATTTTGAAATGAGCTCTTTATTTAGCTATTTGAACAACTCAAGGAAATTTTATTACACATATTTTCTGTTATGAGCTGTGTCACTTCAGGATCTGGGCAATCATGGCTCTCCACAATTTCTTATTTTTCATAGCTCTTATCAATCTTTGTCTTTTTACTACCTGACCCAATCCCTGTTGTGTCATCCATTGACACAGACTTACTCAACCACAAGAGATGCTTAGGAGTTTCTGGAATCTGCCATTCTTTTTGATCATATGGCATGGAACTCTTATCTTTCTGTTTTTTTTTACTGACTTGATATTTAATGTACACTAAGTTTTGAAGAACCAATGCATTAGGTTTCTTTGCTGCTTTAAAAGCAAAAAAAATTGTTCTTGACACTATTCATCTTGTTTGATAATTGACAAAATAATTGGTTTGGAAGGATAGCCATTTGTCCCAACTGCAAATCTCTGTCCACCATTTTAGTTGCTCACTTCTTCAGGTTTAATTAAGATGTGATTTCCTTTTTCCTAAAAGAAAAAAAACAAGAATGCAAAAAATATTTAAATGGTATTTCTCTACAAGGAAGTTTTATGATTACAGAAAATTTATGATTAATAAAAATGAAGCCAGCAAGAAAATGGTTGATTTAATTATTTTTTGATGAGTTTGATCTATTAGAACATGAAATCATTGTTCTTGTGGTTTCTTATCCACTACACTACTTTCTTTGTCATATATGGGCACTGTTGAATTTACAATTTCACAAAGAGTACATTTGTTAATATTTTTAACTTTGGACATCATGAAATGATTATTACATGACTATGTTCTTTGTAATCTCATGTCAGATGTTTTTTTTTGTTTTGTTTTTTTTTAGAATGAACTCACAGGTGAACATTCCTGCATCATGTTGAAAAACCTTAAAGATGATTGTGATGAAGACAATGAAGAAAAGAAAGAATCCTGGCTTGTTTCTTACTGGAAAGGTATTTGTTTACCTTTATTGCTATAACATTAGGCACTAAATGATCTCTGTGTATGTAGTAATATTAACCATTTCCTTATAAGGAAACATTCTGCATTCATTGATCAACCAATTAGACATTCATTGACTGAGCAACCAGTGTTACCGTCAGTTGAATATTGTCAAATTTTTCTATAAAATCAACTTTATTTCAGGAAAATAGATTTCTCAGGTGCTATTATTGTTCTTTCCAGTATTGATGGGGTGTTCCTTTCTAACCTTTCATTTGAAGTAGTGTGGGAAGTCAACATGTCATTATTTGCTGTTCAGGTTACATGTGCTATCCATTTTAGTTGTTGCTGCTTTTTAAATTCCACAAGAGATGTGGTTTTTGCTATCTGGCACAGTTTTTTGTTTGTGATTCTGTATTGCCAGTCCCCAAGGTTCAAAGAAGAATGGTCTTCATTAAGTCCTCCAGGCTTCACTCACTGAAAGCCATTTTTAACAATTGATCTGAGAATAATGTTGTATACAGCAGACAGTTTAGATATTTCTGAACAAGTTTGGAACCATCCATGACATTCCATATTAAAGATTTGACAACACTTGGCATAAAATAAAAACCTTGCATTTGCAAGACATCTCAAAATCTAAAAGCCCACATTTACAAGCATAAAAGGGACAACCCTTTAAACTCACTCATAATACACAGGAACTACACTGGTCACAACGTTGATTTTAAAAAAGTCACCCTAATTAAGAAAGAACATGATTCTTTACATTGAAAATACTTTGAGGAAATCCTGATAACATCAAAAAATGACCTCTCTGACCAATCATCTATGGTGATATCTGAATTTGGGTTTCATGATCAGAAAATAAATGATTTAACCATTTATCTACACACCCATACGTTAAGTACTTTTGACATCTGGATCCTCATCAAAGGTAACTCACCAGATAATTTTTCTTCACCAGATTAACAAGCAACCACATTTCCATTTCATTGCTTGCATCTGTTAAATGGCTCTAATTCACTTGGCATTTTGTTGTTATGGGGAGAAAAAGGTGTTATGTCTTTTTGACAAGACCCTGATTCTCTATCATGTATTTAAAATGAAGAAAGTGTAGTGCTTATAACAGCTATTGGGTAATATAGCTTGTATTTAATCCTCATTGGGGTGGCCCTTTCCTGTGGTCTTTTATCAGACTATGCCTAATGGAAGTACTTGTGTATTTCTCACTTGTAGCAGTGTTCAAACCCTGGTAGTAAAATCAAGATTTCAAATACTGATTTCCCAGACAGGCACTCTAGAAGATCTTTCTACCTCCAGTCTCTCTCCATTTGACCTCGTGCCAAACTATAGTAACTATTTTCAAGGTAGAAAACTACTTCACTTCGAAGATTAGCACTATACAATCTTCCCACCTTCATACCTCTCATTTAGTCTAATGCTAGACTATCATAAGCATAGTAAATATCAATTATTTTTCCCCTTGGGTTTTGTAATTTTAGTCTTCATCTGTTGTCCTTAATAATAAATGTGTTTTAGTCTCTTTTATATTTTATACATGAGATGCTGTTAAATTGTCTGCAATGTGTGACATATTTTGTCTTGTCATGTTCATGTTGACTGCCTCAAGTTTGTTATGGTTTTATATCTATACTGGTTTACCTGTGCCATAAAAAAAATGACTGCATTTTAAATATAGTCTTTCCAATTATTATTGTTGTTGTACTCTCTTATTTCAAACCTCGTTTGTTTTTTGCAAACATCTTGGGGGCATTCTGCCATTGTCATAATAAAAACATTGCTACCTGGCATCACCAGAGTAAAGGAGATAGCTCTTATACAGCTAAAATTTACTGGCATTGCAAAAAGAAATGTTTATTGTATGATAAATCTTGCCATTCACCAGTTCTTCAGACTTTAACCATTGTCCTGGAACCTGATCCCCCAAAACAGCTTCAGTTGTCTTTGTGGTTGGGGATTATACTGTTTTATATTATCCTGAATTCAATTTCCATTTATTTTTTTGTTTTTTCTTCTTTTTTGTTTTTTTTTCTTTTTTGTTTTTTCTTCTTTTTCATTTTTTCTTCTTCTTTGAAACTACTTCTTTTTTTTTTTTTCTTTTATTATTTACAGTTGTTCATGGCATAATAGAAAAAACATGGCAAACATTTATTTTGATCTATTCAATTTTTAAACTGTTTTTTAAAAAAGATTCTTACATTCTGCATGACCATTATTTAGGAGTTGATATGTTATAAATTACATTAATAATAACATTGAAAACGTTTGATACATGATAAAATAATGTATAGAATAAGATTTTTTGAATCAGTATTCCATAAAAACAAACACATTTGGTGACCATTATAATATGTCGTAAAATTATTACTGTAAAACCTTAATATGTGAATTATTTTTTTCAAAAGGCTTTTTTTACAGTATGATCATTATGTAAACATTATGATCATAATGTAAACATTGAAATTACATTCAGAATCGGAATCTTGGTCCCAATAATAATGAGAATCTTTAAGACATGACCATTATATAGTAGTCACTGTGTCATAAAAATAGATTTGTTTCAGTTGTTTCACAAACACACTAAACTGTGATGAATGATTTAATTTTTCTCTCCTTCTTCCAGTTAATGAGTCCTGCCAAAAATATTTGGAGCCAAATTAAATACTTTCCTTTCATTTCACCTCCCTCCTCCCACCTCAACTCTTCCATTGACCATTTTATTTTCATCCTGAGTTCAAGACTTTACCATAATGCTTCATTCCTGCCATAGCAAAGTGCTTCTGCCACTGTCCAGAATTAAAACCGTAGGATTTGCTTAGCATTCTTTCTATGAGCATCTCTCCACCATTTACCAGATTTTCTTTCTTTTGGAAAAAGAACTCTGTACTCAGCAATTGACACATTCGTTTGGTGCATAGCCTGTCTGTATGAAAATTGGGTTTTGTTTTCTTATGTTTGATCCATGAGTTTGGGGAAATGGAAGTGCCTTCTTTCTGGGGCAGGAAGTTTTTCTACTTTCCACACATTATTTATATATTTCCATAAAGGAAATTCTATAATTGAGATTGAAAATCTCAGGAATTAAACCTTTTTTCTTTTTGATCGTAAATTTCAAAATGTCTTTATCTAAATGTTGTGCCATTAAGAAATTATGCAAATAATGTCAGCTATTTATATAGTTTCATTAGAGACCGAAAAAAAGTACTGAACTCTTATATATCTGTCCTCCTATATAGCAGTGAATGCTGGACAATCTCGTCACAGAGAAAGAAGAAACTTCAAACAACAGAAATGTGGTTCTACAGAAGGATGCTGAGAATACCATAGGCTAAACATACAAATGAAAACAAAAAGAATGCTTGCACTTAACACCAAAAAGAGACAGTTGAAATTTCTAGGACACATAATGAGGAAAAAGGGGTTTGGAAAATTTGATGCCCATGGGACTTGACTGAAGGCAAAAGGGACAGAGGAAAACAATGCATAATCTACATAGCAAGTTTGAGTAAATGGATGGCAGAACAGGGTTTAGGAGAGATAACAAAAAGATAATATTTTTAAGAGCTACAAAGGATAGGAAATTGTGGAGAGCCATAGTTACCCTGTCTTAAAGGAACATGGCACATAGAAGAAGAATTGTTATATAGTAAGATTATTATGCATATTATTTTAACCCACCAAACAATCTTAATTTGCATAGCATTATCCCTAACTTTGCAAACATACAATGGGACTCTCCCCCAGCTTTCAACAGACCAGCCAATGACTACCTTACTTGTGTCGACATTCTCAGTGTTGGCATCCACTGAAAGGCCTGCTGGAAACTCACAATGAAATGAAAATAGATGATGAAGCAAGAAATGAGAACACAAAACCTGTTTCTGATATATTTAGATGTTCCCAATTTTTTTAATTCAGGGCTTCACCTGTTCAGTCTGGGTGGGTAAGTTGGCAACACTTGTGACAACTTTGGACTAATAAATCAGCTCTTCTCATCGACACTTCCTCCTACCAATTCTCTATCCTAATCAACATCATAACACATATGGTTGATGAGCAGCATTGGAACTACATCAATGTATGGTTTGTTGTCTCTTGATCTCAAAAACTCTCATTTAGTTATTTACTTTTGTTCCTCTTTGGTCAAGTGTGGGCTACTTAGGAGATCCAACTTCAAAGACCCCATCTGCCAGCCATAAAACACAAAACACTTGAGATCAAGTTAAATTCTCACACTCACCCACCCCTTAAGTAAGTGCCCCAATCATAGTATAACATATTTATGAATTAAAATTTGGTTTTAAAAAGTCAACTTATACATAAGTACTGGAAGAATTCTTTAAATGCACTGATTTGTTGCATAGTATGTATAAAAAGACAACAGGAAAAACTATTCATAGCCGTCATAAAAATACAAAATGTGGAATTAGTAAATGCTAAACACTTTGGATAGATCAGCATATGGATCAGGTATAAGAAATTAAATATAGGAGAAAAAGAAATTGAACATAGAATAGGTTGTGCCAGTTTTGCTTTACACCACAAATTGCTAGGAAACCAAAACTTATCCTGAAAAAGCTGTGTCATATTCTTAAAAAAATATCCTTGTCAAATCGAGACTTTCCTATGGATGCCATGCATGGTGCCTGACCCATTCAGAAATATCTAAGCTGCCAGCTGTACACAACCACTTCCTAAGATCAGTGGTGAAGAAAGGCTTTGAGTGAGTAAAGCCCAAGGGTCTTTACAAAGACCTTCCATCTTTGAACATTGTTGACTGGCCTTACAGAATCACAAACAAGGAACTGTACTAGATAACAGAAACCACATCACTTGAGGACTACCAACAGCAGCAAAAATTAAAATGGATAGCACATGTCACCTCAAAGTGAAAATGATGACAAAATCAAGATGTTGATTTTCCACATTAACTTAAACAAAAGGTTAGAAAGGAAACCCCCATCAATACTGGAAAGAGCTACTAGAC